TTTAGGAAATTTTGAATCCGTTGCCCAACAATCTCGCCACCGATGCCACTTTACGACCCTTGCAACCGGATGAGATGCCAAAAGCTGGCGATTTAATTGCCATGGATGCGGAGTTTGTAACACTGAATCCGGAAGAAAATGAAATACGTCCGGATGGCAAAACAGCAACAATTAAACCTTGTCACATGAGTGTCGCCCGCATCTCCTGTATTCGAGGGCAAGTCTATATGTTTATATTATATTAAATTATTAATTTAATAATCTGTTCTTACTTGCAGTCAAGGTCGCGATGAGGGCGTGCCCTTTATAGACGATTATATTTCAACACAGGAGAAGGTCGTTGATTATCTAACACAGTTTTCGGGCATTAAGCCCGGCGATTTGGATGCCAATTTCAGCAATAAGCGTTTGACTGCCTTAAAGTATTCGTATCAGAAACTGAAGTTTCTTGTCGATGTGGGCGTCATATTTGTTGGTCATGGCCTAAAGAATGATTTTAGGTAAAGTTTACAAATATGGGAATACATTTATATTTGACTTAACATATTTCATTTTGCAGAGTCATTAATATCTATGTACCATCCGACCAAATTATTGACACTGTACATCTGTTTCATCTGCCGCACCATCGCATGGTTTCATTGCGTTTCTTGGCCTGGCACTTTTTGGGTAAGTAATACTATATATGTATAATATAATGTATATCCTAAAATGAACTTTCAATTTGGTATAGGCACTAAGATACAATCGGAAACACATGACTCCATCGAGGATGCTCGCACAACCCTTCAGCTCTACAAACACTATTTACAGCTGCAGGCTGAAAAGAAATTTACGCTCGCATTGAAAAATTTATATGATCGGGGCAAGCAATTACAATGGAAAGTGCCGGAGGACTAAAATCAAAAATGAGCGACAGAAGAGACGGAGAGAAAGTGAGAGAGAAAATAGATCTATGCCAGTACAAACCTTCCGACCGGCCAGCAAGAATGCGAGTTTTTAACATGTTTTTTTTATGTAAATGATAAAAAAAGAAGTAATTCCATGTAATTTTAAGTTGAATAACTGTTTACAAAGACACATGCCCACAATTAAATCAAACTTAATATATTTTCAAAAACTATTTGTGTAAGATGATAGGCTCAGCAATAATTGATTATGTATACCCTGTAAGTATTGGCAAGGTTTTATAGGGTATGTCAACAGTAATGAAAAGGAGTGAGTTATCTATCAGAAACTGCATTTATATTTACAACTGAGCATAGATGAAGGAAGAGTTGAGAAATATGTTAGACGAGATATACTTCAATTTGAAGTATAGAGTATTTTCTAGTTAGACTCTCTATTCGTTCAGTTCATCATCACAGGGAGTCCCACATGCATCTCGCAATGGTTTACAACCTGTTTGTAGTGCTCATTCTAATAAATATATTTATCTAGGAAAACATCTCTAAGAAGAGATGAGTATCCAAGCTGATTGTAAAACTTGTTCCCCACTAACTGAAGGTTGTTCGAGTACTTAGATTTAACGAGCATGATTTGTATTTCATTAAAAGCAATACGTACACATATATACATATATGTCTATGGGTGCAGTGAAACGAACTTGATCTAAGACAGATTATTGAAACTTGTTCGTTCGCTGGGTAATGCCCGATTCATACTTCTGTGTAATCAGAACCAAAGCTAATGAAAACAAGCAATATATGTATATACTAAAAAGATTTACTATATATGTATATAATATATATTTGTATACCCACATATATTTACTTAATGAATATACCATATGCATTTGTCAGTTTTCTATGATTTGCGAGATAAAATCGCATTGGGCTGAGAGATCTATCAGTTTAGTTGGTCGATGTCAGTTTTAGCATATAGAGATCAAATGCCTTATATATACACACCTATAAAATGGTTGTCATATAGATAGGCCGAGCTTCTGAATTTCCCAAGCTAGATTCGCTTACTTATCAAATCGAATGTTGTCGTGGTCGTCGTCGTTGGGGAAATTTTCTGCCGATTGAGAATGCATATAAATAGTGGAGGAGCTCAATGTTGATAGCATTCGATTGAAATTGGCTGTGCAATGGGTTCACAAGGTATACTTGGATTGAGCTGCGCTCTCTTGCTGTGTGCAGGTAAATGGATGAAACTAATCAACACGAAATTCAACTCTCTAAACATATATATTATATTGGCTTTAGTGATTAGCGCACAGCAGACCTACGATGGACGCAATGGTCCACATGTGTTCGGCCCACCTGGCCAACAGGTGTATATACGTGGTCAGAATGAAGGCCCCTATCAGGTGTCTGGAGTGCCCGGCACATTCCAGAACTCCCCTAGTTCCGGGGGATCACACAGCTACACAGATGAGGACGGCAATACGTATGTGCATAACAGGAATAGAGCAGGCAAACCAGGTGAATAGCAATCAGCTGTCATTCATCACATTGTGCTTACACACCTCGTTTTACAGACACACACAGCATATCTGGCCCGAATCTGGTGGCTCGCCGTGGACCCGATCCCTTGACGCTTCCTACAAGTGCTTATCGGCCCCCACGACATGTGGTAATTAGTCGTCCGGATCGTGTTGTCGGCAGCAGCAGGGATGGCCCACTCATAATTAGTCGCAGTCGTCGTGACTTCCATGTCGGACGTCCCGATCGCACCGTTGACTACAGCGCTGGATCCGGTACTTTTGTCGTACAGCGCGGCCGTCGTAGTCCCGACACCGTGCACGTGAGTCGTCCGGATGGCCGTTCAGTGAGCTATGGCGATGGAGGTTTCACTGCCAATGGCCGTGATGGACGCACTGTGGCCCACTCCCGCCATAGACGCGCACGTGTCCAGGGCGAAAACTTTGTGGCACGCGATGATCAGGCCGGCATCTGGAACAACAACGTCTCCATTTGGAAGCGTCCCGATGGACGCACAGTTACCGTTGATAGCAATGGCAATGTCATCACCTCCGGTAGTCCCAATGGACGTGGCCCACAGCGCGTAAGTGACAAAGTTATTATGCTATATTTATATTTGCTTCAAATATTTATATTATTATTCTTTCTTTTTTAGTATTCCGGCTAAGACAGGAAGGAAGGACTGAAGAGGCAGTAGTACGAAATAAATCTTAAATCGAATAAATTAAAATTAATTTTCACCGTTGTAGTGTATAATACATATATATGTAAATCTAAATGTAATTATTGGATAAAATGAAACCGTGTCCATCTTTAAATGTAGAACAGAGAAAGAATTCTTTTTCAAAGTGAGAGAGACTTGTCATTTTGTTGGCTTGCTAATTGCTCTCTTGAATTTTGATTTGTGCTTTCTCAGAGCCTCGACGTATTCCGGGAGAAGAGTATATATCAGTATTTCATTTAAAATTACTTGCAATGCTCTAGATTTCTCATTCTAATAACTTAAATGCAGATTCAGTTATAAGACTATCAGGTCTAGTCGAAATTTGATAAGAATTTCCATAGAGATATGTTATAGTTCACTCCAACGTCTGGGTCTAATCAAGAGTATTTAATTTTCATCGCAATCGAATATGCATAATTTTAATTTGGCGAGCGGTGAAATAGATAAATTTAGAAACCCAGAACCAGGCCAGAAGGTTTCTACAGTATATAGTCTATACGAGGGCATATGTGTCTATGTAACTACACAGATATACATATCCATGTATGTATGTATGTGTTTATTTGTTTAGTTGACTCTGATGCTGTGAAAAAGCTGTATATATTTGGAAAATATTCGTTTTAAATCGTGAAGCTGTCACAGACTTGTTAAATATAACTATTTCAAGTACAAAATAGATACGCCAATTCGTGTATAGACAGGTGATGGAGGCAGTTTGCCATTTCTTTCGTACCAATTATATATTAGCCAACTGCGAGGATGTGATACAAAAGAAGGGTTTCACGCTAAATCTGTCCCATTACCAAATGGACGAATTGCCCGAGATAATTGAGCACTGTGAAACGCTGATGAAGCTCTTTCTCAATCAAAATAAGCTAACCAAGGTTGTAGAGTGAACGAAATATATATGGATATGTTATATAGATCTATTTAATGTCCAGGTGCCCTCCAGTCTAGGCAACTTGATGCGGTTGCAGGTCCTGGCGCTGGACTACAATAAGCTCGATGAGTTTCCCGCTTGTGTTTGCCAATTGGTTCGATTGAAATTCCTGAATGTTAGCTGTAATAATATCGTTAGCCTGCCCGCGGAGGTGGGACAACTTACGGCCCTGGAGACCTTCTGGTGCAACAATACGGGTCTCCGTGCGCTGCCAGTTGAACTATCGAATTGCGAGCATCTGGAAACGTTGGGAGTGCGTGGAAATCGATTGTGCAAACTGCCCGATCAACTGGGCAAGCTGTCGGAGTTACGTTGGTTTACTGCCGAGAACAATGATATAGTGCAAGTGCCAAATACATTTGGAATGTTGCAGAATCTGGTACATCTGAATTTGAGGAAAAATCGTTTGAAACGGCTGCCTCGCATGCTGGTGGTCATGCCCAAGCTGAGATTCGTTTTCCTCAATGACAATCTGATTGAGCAAATGCCAAGTCGGGAGGAGCTGGAACAGCTAAAATACGTGCGCATGCTGAATTTATCCATGAATCCCATTAGCACCAAGCCCGAGATGCAGGAGCTGGCCAAAGTAAGTGCAGATAAGCCTTTCATTTCTGCTTGTTAAAGACTTCTCACATTTACAGCACTTAATGAACATTTATGTGGAGTCTGTTGAGGACTACCCAGAAACTGCCACCGGCAACATTTTTAGCGGCAACAGCGACGCACAGCCACAGCAGGAGCAGGACAATGATACATCATCGGATTGGGCCAACAGTGCAAGGACCAGCCAATTGGATAGTTCCGATGAGAGCACACTGGAGAATACCATTGAAGATTTAAGCGTTATGTTGCCCGAAATGTCTCGATTTGTAACAACATTTTAAGATGATTAATCAAAATATATAAATCTGTTGCGTACCGTTTATTCGTATCTGTCTGTGTGAAATTGGATGTGTATGTGTGTGTAAGTGTAAAACGTAACAATTGAAATGCGCTTTGGCTTGGTAGCTGGACAACAGCTACACAAAATATACAGATGGGTCAATATGACCAAAAACCTAGAAACGGGAAATTTAACTAGACATTTTCTTGATCAGCTCCTCGTCCTGCATGGACATGGCGGTCAGCTTCTTGCCAATCTTTTCGTGTATGTCCAAATACTTCGCAACACATCTATCGATGCAGACCATTTCGCCTTTGCCTGTAAGAAAAGCGTCATAGTTATTTTGCTTCATCAATGAAACTCAATAAAAATAGAAATTTACCTAATTCCGATTCGCCGTAACGAGGCGGAATGCACTTTTTGTGGCAGGCATTGGTCATGCGGTTATATAAATCCGACATCATCTCTATCTCCATTTCTTGCATCAGCTGCAATTTTGCCTGGTCGGCCACACTTATTTGAGGCATTGCTGCCATGTTGTTTAATTTATTTTTATGAATTGATTATGTATTTCTTGTTGTCTATTTTTTTTTTTACAATTTTACTTTTGGTTTCTAGTCAAAACGCCTGACGGAAATAGTGTGATCGTATTCACCGTGGTTTGCCTTTCTCATGCGCTCTCTCACACGTAAGTTCTCAATCCTTCGGTCTTCGACTGATCTTTTTGACAAGACAAAAGCGTAAACACCACCAACGGTTAAAAATGCCCTAATGTACACGCAATTTTAATTTAAGTCAAGGAATTTCATTTACTACACATATGTTACGAACCAACAAACAGCAATTCGGCCAGCGTTTCCAAGCGGCATTGTCAATAGACACAGTGTGACTGTGATACTATGAATACGAAAATACTAAAACATTACAAATACTAAGTAAACGAAAAGGTTTTATTTTGACATTTACAAACGATAACAAGATATCGATTATAGCTTTACGTGGTCGATTGTGCGACAGTAAATCAATTCAAATTCATAATAGGTCCAATATTTCATAATATAATAATAATATAATTCATAAAAATTGCATTTGGTATAGTTTTTATTGACAGTGCATCACAAACAGTTCTATATAAGTATATAAGTATGATAAGTATACACTGGAAATATGTATAATTATTTAACATAAAAAATCAGACTAATAAAAGCAATTTAAAATTAATATAGTATGTATAAAATAAAAATTATAAAGAGCGTACATGAACCATGAGAGCCTTGAAACGTCATGATCACATCAACAGAAAAAATATGCAGTATATAAATATTTAACAATATATAATTTTGGTGTTAGTAAATCAGAGATTAACAGAAAATAATATTCAATCACAATGTAATGCAGTGTATTATGTACATAGTACAAATGACTCCTAATAAAAAACTAATATACATATATATGTGTATATATGTATGTAGGAATGTATGAATTGTATGAAAATATGTACATATGTATGTACTCAATTATTGCACATTTAATTGAATGGATTTATCACTAAGCTGTGATAAGGTTTAACTCGGCTTCACGCCAAACCAACTCATTTTCCAATTAAGTGTATCGTGCAACAGTTTTTCTTCCTCCGGTGAAAGTTGCAACAAAGTGGAAACTGCCCTCACCAGATGTCGTGCCTCGACCTGTAAAAAAGACTTGTTAATTTAATATTCTGTATAGTTGAATTTAAATGTAAATACCTCTCTACTGGTCAAGAATTTGACAATGACATGTTTTAAATACTTAAAATTTACTTCGTCCATTATAATGCAATTGGGCTTGTTGTCTGATTGAAAGTTCTCAATGGGAGCATTGGTCACTCTAAAGGCGGGTGTTACCTGATCCGTATCCACATCGATGGTTGCCATTTGTGAGCTGCGAAACTCCTTTTGCAGAGTCTTCTTAAGATCCCCCAAACGTTGATTTAATGTCTTTATTGTCTGCCAAGAAACGGAAGAAAATAAATAAAATGATAAATAATATAATTTGAAATAGGTTACTACCTTATTCTTCTCTGCAATTTCACGCTGGCTCAACTCATATTTAGCCTGATCACTCGCACTTTGCTCCGCTGCATCCTTGAGTAAATGCAATGCCTGTCTTGCCTCTTGCAGATCCTGCTCGAGTTGCTTATTCTTGTCATGCAATTCGTTGGACTCCGTTTGCTCCATGCGCAACTCCTTCTTCAGCAACTCTTCGCTCTGCGAAATCTCCGCATTTCGTAAAAGCGCAGTCAGTTTCTCCTCTCGTTCCACTTCTAATTTCATTTGCGTGTCACCTAGAATTTCTTGCTTCTCCGTAACTTGAGAACGCAATTTTTGCGCAATTTGCTCGGCATTTTTCACATATTCACTAAATCTTTCGTCAGCGGTTGTAAGGCGAATTTTCAAATCTTTCGCTTCAGCTGCTAGCGTTTCCTAGGTTTTTAAGTTTTATTTATTTAAAGAGGTAAGATAGGGTTTTTTCTCTTTCATTTTTTTGTAAACATAAAAGCAATTTAATAGAAAATTGTTAAATAAGAAAATGTGTTTCTCTTTGGTAAAACATTAAAGCAATTTAATAGATAATAGGATTAGATTATATTACAAAACGTTGTTAAATTAGAAAATGCAAAACAGAGGTAAATTAATTGTTATTGTACGTGCTAGGTTTTTTCATTTTTGGTTAGTTATACAATTAGTCATGCCATTTAACTATGTATAGGTATAGGTATGTGTGTGTTTGGAATTGTGTATGTGTGTGTTATTGATGCCACTGCTAAACGCCAGCTTCTGAAGAAAGGATACTCACAGATTTGTTGCGTTCGAATAGAATTTGCTGTTCGTTCTCTTCGCGACATTCTTTCAGAGCAACATTCAGTTCATCAACTTCGTCCTCCAACAATTTAATCTACAATGCAATTAAAAAAATTATTCATATGAAGAACTTTAAACTCCTTTCAAAAAATGATGCGACGTACCTTGTCATCTCTTTGCTTGATCTCAATTTTGGCTTTCTCGAGCTCAAATGAAACTTGTTTAAAATTTTCTATGGCCTCGTCTCTTGCCTTTAAGGCTTTTCGCTTTTCGGTGGTTTCCTCGGCCACCTGTTGGGAGAGGCGACTCACTTGCTTCTCGAGCGCAAAATTTTGACCACTCCATGAGCTCTTGATGTCCGATAGCTGCAAGTGTGCTTCCTCAAGATGCTGCTCCAATAGTTTGTGCTCCTGTACAAGTGCCTGCACTTGTTGTTCAGTGCTCAATTGAGGCAGTACATCCAAACGAAGTTCTTCCACAATTTTCATACGCATTTTCATATTACGATTGTCCTCCTGCACGGCAGCGAGTGTTGTGGTCAATAGGCTCTTCTCCTGTTGCGTGGCATGACGCAACTGCTCTAACTCATCGCGCAGATCCTCAGCAATGGGTTCTATATTGCGCAAACGTTCCAGCTCCTGATTAAAGTTCTCGATTTGCTGTTGATATTGGCGTACGGCATTCATATGATCGACGGCTTCCTGTTCACGAAAGCCGAGTAAGCTTTTCAGCTTATCAATTTCGATTTGTTGCAATGTTTGTATCTTCTCCTGTTCCTCGCAATAAAGGTCCTTTTGGGTTTGGGCTACTCGCACGGTTTCCAATAAAATTTCATTTGTTTTGTCCACTCTCGTCTTCTCCTCCTGAAGCTGTTGCAAACTTTGGGTTAGGCAGGCCACCCTAGAGGATAGCTCGTTGCATTGGCTGCGTAGCTGGCACAACTGTTCCGACTGAATATAAACAGTTGTTTATTTTTTTTTTTAAGTATATAAATATGAGTTCTGTTTGCTCACCTCGTTGTAGGCTCCGCCCGTATCGTCAGCTACGTTCGAATTGATGCTCACACGACGGCTGCGTATGCGATAATTATTAATATTGTTATTATTGTGACGCTGGTGTGTCTGGCTTGCCGACGTGGACACATCTTCGCCAGTTTCCTCCTTAATTTTGTTTTTTAGCGTAGCAAACATTTTTATGTGCTTGCCTGCCTTTGACTATTGCACGGTTAAGATTCGATGAAACGTTATTTGGTATGAAGTGGATCGCGTTGCGACACAACAGCGTTACGGCCGCTTTGTTTTTATATCATTGCTCCAATTAAGGTGTGTTTTGGGTTTAGGCTTATCAAAGAAATGTAAATCTATTTAAATTTGCAGTCTATATATGTTTCTTCTTCTTATTAGAAGAAATACGTGCAGCGCCGAGCTTGCCACTGAGTTAAATTCTCATATCTGGCAGCACAGCTGTAAGGTTGCTATTGTGATTATCGATAAGACTTAAAATAATAGACGCCAAAAACATCTGAAGAGCGCGCTAAATTTTTATAATTATTTAGAATAACATACAGTAATAGAGTCTAAAAGTAAAGTTTTAATAAACAGTTAAAATATTGGTCCGAACTAAGAAAAATGGATCAGGATTACTCGAAGCAAACAACTCGAGACATTTGTGACAGTGATGCAATGTGTACGTCGTCCTTAAAGGAAATCTCCTTAATAGAAACTGTGACAAGTTTTCTAGAAGAGAACGGCGCTGGCGAGGTCGATCCACGGATTTTGAAAAACTTGGCAGAGGCTCTGTCCAAACGCATAAGCACAGATGAGTGAGTACTAATTTGATTTGTTCTTATTGTGCAAGCCGCATGCAGTGTACCTACATGCATAGGTGCGCGAGTGTGCGTGTGTTGTAGGTAGCTGCGCCTTTGAAGTTTTGTTTGGCAGTGCAACATTGCAAGTGCAACGCACATTTTGGCTTTGATCCAAAACTAAATTTGGATTCATTAAAATGATAAATTGAAGCACACACAACATACGCATGTATCTATATATTCACTAATGCCAATGCTCAGCCATCCGCATCTGAGTACTAAGTGGACAGAACTGTATGATCAAAGATCATGAGCATTGGTGCCGCTCATTGGCAGGTTCTCCCTCACTCGCTGGTGAGTAAGTGATGAGCATACATGTGTGCATGTGTGCGTGTGTGTACATAACCCACCCCATTTGCCCGCGAGAGCAAAATCCAACACACAGGCATTTGCCATATGTGGTGGGTGAGAAAAAGAGCGCACGCTACGTACGGAAAACACGAGCGCAACATCTGTCGTGCGTTCGAGCGGAGCGCGTTTTCCTTGCAGAGTAAACGTACTCTCCTATGGGATGAACGGCGGATGATGCTGCTGCTGCCCACTGTGGTGGGGTTTTTCTCTCGTTATCGCGATGCGCATTTTCAGTAATATTCTGGCATTCGGTTCAATTAGACATACCATACGTACAATATATGAAGTGAACTTCAACCTAGTATATTTCAATTGTATTTTTGTTCGTTTGTTGTGATTGTGCTTCTTCGTTTAACGCCTATCAGTCTTTCTTTTTGAGCAATATATACAAACATATGTACAGACGTACAGACAAATAAATATTAACATACATACATATATAACGCTACTCGGCGCGCGGTTAAGTAAATAAAGACCCTGTATATATAAATACATATATACATATACAAATATATGCGCGTGTGTGTGCAAATATGCAACAACAAAAGTGAGCATAAGATAGCTGTTTGTGTTTTTTTTAATCATTGTGTGTTTTATGTAGATAAAAACCGTTGATGAATGCTCTCCTATAGTGTAAAAAGATACAATATTCTTATATAAATTAAACAACCTATTTGCATGCTCATATGTGTATTATGAGTGTGTGTGGTGTCCGTGCATGAGAGTGCATGTGTGTATGTGCATAAATTACGGCTACGCGCGCCTCATCTTGTTGTTGATTTCCTTTGTCGTTGTTGTTGTTGCTGCTGCTGCGGCTGCATCTAAATTTAGTTATGGAAAAATATAACACATCTTTGTACATACATATCTATATCTATATATATATATATATATATATATAATATATATAACTGCGTATTATTGTGCTCGATTAATCGAGTAAATGAAAACAGATAAAAAGTCTTCTAATATAAGACAGATATCTAGACAGTATAAGACTTTTGTTAAAGTCCTCTTAAAGCGGATATATGCACTCGGTATTCAAGTGGCAAGTTCCTTGGCTTATATACACACGTTCCTACTAGCTGCCTTTGACCTTTGTTGTGAACCCCCTAAAAACCCTGCACTGCATTGTTACAAGACCCGCAGCTTTCCCTTTGCACCACCACAAATTCGGATGTTTGTTTGGTACAGTTTGTTTTGTGAATGCTAGTTTTGTATATGTTTTATCCTTTCATATATTATTTCTATTCAAATTTTGTGTTTGCCCGAATGCACCTCCGCCTTTGTTTTTGCAGTGTATGATATATTTTTCACAAATGAGTTCAACAATTCAAATATGGTCAAGCAGAAACAGTCGAGTATCTTGTCTAACGCTCTAGATTGAGGAAAACTGTGTGCGGGGAAAACTACATTTAGAATGCATTTTCGTCGTCGTGCTTTTTGGCGCCAATTGATCTTAATTATTCTCAATGACCATTTATATATAGATAATTATTTCGATTGCAATTAACTTAGTTCAGGTAGTCAGCGTGATAGAAACATACAGGACACATATGTTGGCCTGTGCAACAGCTGTTACAATTACAGTAGACGTTCGTTAAGTACACTATTACAGTTGGCATGTGGTAGAGAGGAAAATCTATAGCAGAAAAACATCTGTAATATTATATAAATGACTGCTCTGGAAAAATCATGAAACTATAAAAATAGATGACTATGTGACATATGTATAGACACTATTTAGAAATATACTCTGTTAGCAAAACATTCAAATATACCTATTCCGAAATTTCTACTTTGACATAGTTTTGTTTTTATTACTTATAAAGTTTTACAAGTCAAATTTTTTGTATTGAACAGCTCTATAAACAGTTTTTGAAAAACCTTTTTTATTTATGAATTTAATTAAGACACTATACCTTATTAAAAGCACAATTTCAAGATTCTAAATTTTTGTACAATAAGAATTATTTCGAATCATTCAAAAGTAACAAAATTTGCCATTGTTTATTCAGTTTTGATAATTTATTTATTTTAATATTTATTTAAATACAAGCCAAATAATGCCGAGAATAAGAGAAAGAAAGTCAAGTTTCGACAAAGCTAAGTAAAATGTAAATTAAAAACTTGGGTGAATACTCCTATGATTTTATGTTTATGTATGTGAATTACCATGTAGCACATCGTTGGTGGTCTGGGTAATTCATAGTCGAGCATTCTCTACTAAAGGAATTCTGCTTTAAATTTCTTTCCTTTCTTGCTTCTATTATAATTGAGTGTAAAACTCTCTTCCATTCTTCAATTGACCACTGTCAGCACTGGAAGTGCTCAACATGTGTGGTTACACACTGTAGTACACCTGTTGGTGGACCTTGCCGTGCGCGCAATCCTTAATAATTGTGTATATACACCATTTGATGGGCCCAGCTGGCTGTAACCATAGCTATGGCCAAAATAGCCAGGCGGGTCAAAACAAAGCCTAACAACAACAATAGCAACAAATAGTGGCCAATAAATTGTAGTCGTACATCAGCTCATAAGTTTTGGTATTTGTGTTTTTGCTCATTTCCCAAAATAATTCATAGAGGAGACACGCACGTGAAATTGTGCAAATGTGAAAATGTGAAAATGTGAAAATGTGTGGCCCACATGTGTCGCCGGGTCTGCAAATTGCAAATTGCGTATAGAAACTGCGAGAAGTGATAGCTACGGATGCAGCCAAAATATATAAGAAAAAGCTGATATATCTATGCTGCTCAGATAAAGAAAGCATAAAACATCTCCTGTGATGTGCGGCGATGCTGCGTAGCATCATTTTGGGAGCATTTGCCTAAGCAATGCAAGCGCCTTGGCTGGCTGCCTTAGCTGCCAATGACTCATAGAAGGCGCACGACGCACACACACGGCCATACTTATATATGTATATATATACATATATCTATGTGTTTGTGGTATAGAGTACTTATACCTGCACTGAAGTTGCTTTTATTTAGATTCGGTGTGCCGCAAAGCTATTTAGGATAAGCACAACAACAACAACGCAACAAAAGGGATGACGCATTCGTTTGACTTTAAATAAAATCAAAGTCGGGATTCTTATATGTGTATATATATATATATATATTTTTCAAATCGTTTCGTTCAGTATATTACATGAACTGGAGTGAACTATACTTAAATAAACCAAAAAGTCTGCAGTTTTAATGCCAAATCAATTAAAGTCTTATCATAATGGCGGGATTATTTCGTACGAACTCTGTGATCGGCACAAATGATTCCCCTAAAAGATCACCATTTAAACGATTTTCGGTTTGCTCTGGAACGCCGAGCACTATTTGGTAAGTTTCTATACGATGTATTTCGAAAAGTATTCATTAGAATACTTTAAAAAGTTCTGTTAAATCTTTTATATATCCTCTATATTTCTCTGGTAAATCAAACATAAATACACAAGTTTCGATAGATTTCTTGTACTCTTTTTTTTCCAATTTCCACAAAGACCAAGTTTAATTACGCTAATTTCGGCTGACTTTTTGTGGCTTTCAACTTTTAGACTTACTTTTTATTATATCCATTCACATATATGGTCTCAGTTTATTTGAAATTAAAAGTTTCATTGATTTGGCAATAAAAAAAAAGTAATCAAGGTGTGCCATTTCTATGCTACCGAAACAATTTATACGCTTCAGTTAGCGCGGCTACAAATTTTTTTGGCTATTCTTTCTGTATATGCTGCAGTATATATAGAGATAGATAGATAGAGATATATTCATATGTATGTCATGTGCAATAAAAATGATTTGTCGCTGGGTTTTTGATCAAATAGGTAAATAAGACTTTTTGCAAGCTTTAGAAAATGTCAACATCTGTTTGCTAATTGAATGCTCAATCAACTTAGTTATATTAATGAAAATCGTATAGAGAGATAGCACATATGGATGTTTGGAAATGAAAATTGCTTTCATTAACTGACAATTTAAGTGCATGAGAACTGCATAGAGGGGTGCGAAATGAATACCTTTAGCTATTCCACTTAGAATTTTGTAACTTCCTTAATTAGGTACAATCAATGCTAGCGCCATTTAGTGATCACTGATCAGTGTACGGTATTATTGAGTCGACAAGTCTTATTACTATTTGATTTATTGATAGAATTATATTTATACATATGCATGTCGATAGCAGTTAATTATAGTGGCTTGAAGTAGCATTAAAACAATTCAAACCCGTTTTAAATTGACCTCCAGACTAGAGATGACAGCGTGTTGAAAATGTAATTATCAATTAACTTTTTATTTAATTTTAATATTGGACAGTGTGATGAGGGACTGAATAGGTATATATATACAAAACTTTAATTATGGAAGCTTTAATAATAAAGCTTTTCTCTGCCAATTCGCTTTACAACTCTCGTGAGCATTACATAGAGAGGAGCGAACTGAATTCTTATGAATTCATAAAAGTAATAGAATAACTCATATATAGAGACTTATTTTTCGTGCTTCTTAGATATAATTTAATAATATAACGATGATTGGCTTGCCCATCTCTAGGGCTATGAGCTTCAGGTGTCTTGAGTTCACAGAGTTAGTTCAGTAGCTAAATGTTAGTTTAGTAGAATGAATAAGTTTGCTCTGACTAGCTGGATGTGCCTGCTAGGCTTCAGCTCTATGTTGGCCTTACGTTTGGAGCCTTGCGAGTTGGCTGGTCAGCTTTATATATTGGATGTACCTAAAGTGGAACTGCCCCTATGGTTGTGCATAGCCGATTTCGAGAGTCGCTTTAATACCCATGTTATCGGACGGGCCAATTCGGACGGCAGTCGGGACTATGGACTCTTTCAGATCAGCGATCGATATTGGTGTGCCCCGCCGGAGAAAACAGCCTACCACGCGTTCAACGAATGCAATGTGAACTGCACCGAGCTCTTGAGCGATAATATCACATCGGCCGTTCGCTGTGCCCGACTTATCAAGAAGCAACAGGGCTGGACGGCCTGGTCTGTTTATGCAGAGTTCTGCAATGGAACGCTTACGGATGCGGATAAGTGTTTCCAGCAAACAACCGAAGCAGCTACAACCGAACCGATTCTGCAAATAGAAACCACAACCTTTGACCCGGAAATAGATTAAACTGTTGTCATATTTTGTATTCAGCTCTTATCACTGCCTCTTTAAGTGAATTATATACTTTTAAAATATATATTAGTAGTATATCTGACAATACTCGGCGTTGTGCGTTGAAGATGAAATATAAAAGATGTTCAATGAAAAGATTAGCATAGGAATTGGAATAATGTAATACCTATATATGATATAAATATAAACAAATTTGAATACATATATATGATAAAAAAATAAAAAATGTATATATATTATAATAATGTTTACCCCAACTGATTAAGGCTTTTTGGTACTGAAAGTAATATTCATTTTGTTTTTTTTTTGTCTACGTTACATAAAAGTTAAATTAATTTTGTTTTTATGGCATCAGCTACAAAACTTTTCAAGTTCTAATCGAGTTTTATGGCTTTTCTTTTACATTTACAGCACAAGTCCCGGGGGTCTTCAAGATGTAACCCTAGAAAATTCATGTAAGTATAAAACATACAGTGAATAAGTTCAAACGAAAAACACACTGAAAAAAAATCATTACATGTTACATGTATAAGATAAAATACTTATATAAAAATGAAATAAATAAATATTAAAGTGATATACATTTTAGTTAGAGAAATGCTTCTAGGTGCTTAGATGTATGCGAATTTACAGGGCATTTACAGTTGACGTTTGGTCTTTATTGTCAGTTTCCCGATTTGTTAATACTCATTCTTTAGAGTTCGCCAGAACTGACTATCCGTGTGTATTATGTCAACACATACAACTATTTTATTAGTTTAGTTTGGAAGCACACCCGTAAATACTAAATGCAAATCAATCACTTAGTTTCCTTTTATATATATATTTTTTTTATTAATTGGCCAAAATGGGCAAAAACGGCGTTCTCTCACCGGTCTCGCCGCGAACAAACAGGACAAGTAGCTTACGCATGTTTGATGGTATTAGTAGCATGCAAATTTCTGAAGACTTAACTAATAATTTATTTTTCTTTTCTTTGCTTTATTTTATTTCGATAGATACTAGCTTCGATGCGGCGCGTGCACCGGGTGGTATCCATTCCCCCATGCAGGGTCGCTCCGTAAGGGAGTTGGAGGAGCAAATGTCTGCCCTGCGTAAGGAGAACTTCAATCTTAAGCTTCGAATTTACTTTATGGAGGAAGGTCAGCATGGCTCACGTGGCGGCAAACCACCTGCCGATTCGCCGGCTAAACAGTTGATTGACTCCAAAATTGAGATTGAAATACTGCGCAAGCGGGTCGATGAAAAGACCGAGCTATTAAAGGATGCGGCACGCGCTATATCCCAGCACGAGGAAATGCAAAAGAAGGCGGACATGGAAAGCCAAGCCCTCATTGAACAAATGCAACAGTACATTCAACAGCTGGAGGTAAGCATCATGATTGAGATGTACTTATTTTAATGTAAGAACTAAATTCGAATTCTTCTTTCACACACAGAGCTCCGTCAAGCAGAAAGCATCCAAAAGTTCTGTGAATTCGCTGGATACTGAGAAGTTAAAAGCTCTCGAAGCTGAGGTTAGTTAATGTACAAGGTAGCCGGATAGTATTTAGTGTAAAATTATCTATATATTATTGGGGAATAGTTTTTATTGATTGGTGTGCATAATAACGTCTTCATTGGTTTCGGTTTATGTTATGTTGATAAACGATTGATTAGAATGAACAATGTGTTCTATCGAACTGTTACAGAAGAACGATCAAACCTATCGAACCAATTTGAACTGGTGAACTATACTATCGGCTAAAAAGTCCGTTAAGCTTCACAATTGAGCTGATTAATCATATTGAAACTAGAACTCTCATCTCTAACCATTTGAATTAAATTTATTTTTATTACCATAAACAGATTCAAAATCTAGAGAGCGCCTTGCTCGAAGCAGATTTGCGGGAGGCAGAGGCTAAGCGGCATCAGGAACTATTGTCAACAGAGTTAGCTGAAAAGCAGGAGACGCTTGTGGCATGCGAGGCAAAGATCGAGGAGCTGGCTATAAAAAATGCCAAGCTGCTCGAGGAGCTGGATAAGCACAACGATAGCAATCAGCAATCGAATGTAAGTATAATATAAATTGTAGTGTATGTAGAATTCGTAGAATGGTTGTGTGAGCTCTGGCCCGATTGCTTGAATCATATTTAGCAAACTATAACGAGGCAGAAGCTCGAATTAAGCGCCATTGAAAATGAGAATAGACGCCTGCTCGACGAGCTAAACGTTGCCCAGCATGAAATCGAGCTACAAAATAAGTGGATAGGTGACGCAGTGAGTGTCCTAGATGTACAGCGGAAGACCATAAAGCTAATGGAAGTAAGTAGACGTGCGAATGAGAGAGCAATAGAGTAGGGCAAGCTCTAATCCAAAACAACCTCCATCAAAAGGACATGAACAGTGAAAAAGATCACGCCCAGCGGCGCCTTTTTATACGACTAGTTGAGTATGAGGGCATGATTAGGAAGCAAAACTGCGAGGTTAACATTGTGCGGCGGGAAAAGCAATTTTTCCAGGATCTCAGCAATAAGCTGCAATACTGTGATCGGATGAATTACCTGGAACGAGTTGCCTTCATACAGCCCATCCGGTTTAATAAGTTTCGTGAGATTTCCAATCGATCACCAAACTTTTCAGCGATCAGCATATTGTTCAATAATCAAGATCCGCTGACTGCGAAGCAAGTGAGGCACTTGTATTACTCCATGCCTGAGGTGAAGCAATAACCACATTGTTTTACTTATATATATATATATATAAATCCGATTCGTTTCGCAGCATTGCAGACCAGTAACAATGCCTTTGTCGGTGGCAGCGCCTAGTACGGCATTTTATAATTATTCCCTGCCGCCCTTTAATGGATTGCGAGAGCTGCTTTGCCGCTGGTGCTGGTGCTCGATGCAGTCGCCCAATTGATGGATTTTACCAAAACCAATACAATCAATCAACCAATCATGTTCAATACCAGTTTAAGTAGCTACACTGTGCCGCGACACGGCCATTCTGTGTTTCCCGGCAGATCAGCCAAGGCCCATGATGTCCCTCCACTTGTCTCCGAAATGCAAAATGACCCATGAAACTGGACAGTGTACAGCTAAATATGTATATTTATATACATGTGTATATATTTTAGATATATGCATATGTATATATATATATATTTCTCTCTCTACATAGATATACATATATATCTTCGTTTACTCTGCTGATGATCTGTTGGCATACTACTTCCTATATATGTATAAGTATCACAGATATATATTTATATATATATATCTCATACATATATTTCAGTACGTATGTCCGGCCGTCGATTTTTCGTATTTTCAATTAAGTTAGAGTTCCAATACAATTTGTTAGCATAGTGTGTCGATATATCATTCGCTGGTAGTTATGCAAAAATTTCTCGTTATTAAATACTTACAAATGTAAATAAAAGTGATTAAAAAAATACATTATGGATATGTCATTTAGTAGGATTGTATGTCAAATTGTCATTGCAACTGAAATACTTTGATAAATCAAATGGTCATGCAAACAATTAATTATAAATAAATTGTAATATACAATAATTTGCATTGTACGCACTCTATGACAGTTGCTCTTTCATCATCGGTAGTTACTTAAGATAGCAGCTGTCAGCTCTCAGCTCTCTGGCCAGTAGCTCATCAATCATTCAATCAAGCATTGGTAATATAATTTCCATTAACATCCATTTTATCTTTCAGACTCAGTCGCCAGAGCTGCGCGCCCAATTGGCCGACAAAATCTGCGAGCTGCAGGATGCCGAGGAGAAGCTGAAGGAGCGGGAGCGAGTGCACGAGCAAGCCTGCCGCACAATACAAAAGCTAATGCAAAAACTGAGCAGCCAGGAGAAGGAAATCAATCGATACAAACAAAAGCAGCAACAGGTACATAACATATGATATTCTATATAAGTATATCCATATCTAAAGCCCTCTCTATTACAGAACAATTCCCTAACGGAGATCTCTTCTCCCGTCAAGCAGCACCATTCGCTGAGCGATACCGAGACCTGTAATGTGGACATTTCACGCAGCCTCAAGCAGCGCTATGAGAAGCAAATTGAGGATCAGGATGAGCTAATCAAGCAGCTACAGTCGGAGGTTAAGAAGAAGACCGCCAATTTGCAGAATCTCGTGAACAAAGAGCTGTGGGAGAAAAATCGTGAAGTGGAGCGCTTGACCAAATTGGTCAGCGGTAAACAGCACTCGCAACAAACCGTGGAGCATTCAGGCGATGATTCCACAGCTGGCACAGATTTGCAGCAATCCTTCACAGAGGCTGACTTCGTCAAGGCTGTCAAGCGCAATCAGCTGCTGCAGCGCAAGGTCGATGTGCTGCTGCAACGATTGGATGGTGCGCAAGAGGATAGCAAGTTGGTCTCTCAGCTGAAGCACGAGCTGCAGAGCGCTCAGCTTAATATGGAGAATGCCAACAAGTGGCGTCTGGAGTGTGCCGATGTGTGCAGTGTGTTGACGAACCGATTGGAGGAACTGGCTGGCTTCCTTAATTCCCTGCTCAAGCACAAGGATGTGCTTGGTGTGCTAGCAGCGGATCGTCGACATGCTATGCGACGTGCTGTGGATCGCAGTCTGGACCTGTCCAAGAGCCTGAACATGACTTTGTCCATCACGGGCGTTTCGCTGGCCGATCAGAGTCTGGCGCAGCTGAGCAAGCTCTCCGAAATGCTCTACAACAACGAGCCGGATGAATGCAATCATACGTACAATTCCCACGAGGATCTGCAGACGGCCAAGGCGTCCAAAGCCGAAGCACGCAAGGAGCGACGCTCGCTGCCTCTGCCGCAGCAGCAACCGGACAATCAAAGCGAGTCGGAGGCCTGGTCGGAGCCGGATCGCAAGGTATCATTGGCGCGCATCGGACTGGAGGATACGTCGAACAGTGTGGCTGGCGAGAAGCATCACAGCGAATCGGATAGCGAAGGCCACGCCTGTACCACAAACACGATCAAGCAGGAGCGCCGAAGCGAGCGCATTGCCCAGCTGGAGGCATTGATAGCGCAACGTGATGAGCGCCTGCTGCAAGCTCAATGCCAGCTGGTCGAGGCTGACAATCGCTACAAGCAGGAGCAGCTGCGCGTCCT